CATGAGACATACCGTTAAGTTGTACGGTGCGGACCTTTACGGGGCTAGATCACGAACTAACACTTAATTCTACACAACATTTGTTCACGACAGCAACGGCGAACGCAGGCTAGAAACTCGGATAATTCATTTCAAAGTTTGGCAGGAATGAAGAAATGACAAATAGAATTTATTTCCTGATCGAATAACTCTACCGCATTTCAGATTGGGGTCGATTCAGGCAAACGCAATGGAAAACATAATTTAGTTAAGTGCATCTATGCATTTCGTACTTGGCATGTCTTCATACATTGTGGTGCATGCTGTTTCAACTGCGGTGGAGGTTTTTTTTCATTTTACTCTTGAATATCGTGTTTAAGTTTATTGAACGATGTTTGACTACCATGATAATTAGTTTTGTGAAGTTACTCCACTAGTTTGGTATAATTATTTAGTAAAAAGTTTGAAAAAAATTATTTTGTTGCTGTAAGGATGAACTTGCATTTTTTATGTATTGATGTAATTGTTATTGTTGTTTTGTTTCATAAGTAAGTCTGACCTACTTGAGAAGTACCTTCTCACTGCTAAGTATTTAGTTAAATCATTAAGTAGATCTATAAGTAAGAGCTCGCCAACAAACTGTTTCCAGTTTTGCGGGAGATAGACTTGTGTAAAATGTATGCTTTTTGAATAATAAATAAATAAAAATATTAATGCAAACATCGAACACTTAGAAAAAAAATCCTTTGATCCGAACCCGACGTCTTCCAGCAAAACATGCCAAACGCTATGCCAACTAAGCCACGGGACGACCTAGCGGACCTTTCGGATTTTTCTATGGGCGTTTTTGTTTTTAACGACTTTTTTGCCATCTTTGAGAAATTTATTTGTTCATTCTATATCGTGAATAATATTGTGATGTTTTACTACCATGTTTTGATTTTTTCTTATGATACCATGTGGCGTGACGAACAAGTCATGCTCTTGGTGGTTGTCGCTTACCACCAGGAGCACGTCTGTCCATAACAGTTGCAATACCTCTCAGAGCTTTCAATTACATAGATCTGAGGTGCACTGCCACTGTCTCCGTCACACAGAGACATAAGCTGCCGTCCGCTATCTAAAAAAGCTAAGTGACAAAATGATAGGTAGATAGGATAAGTCAAACACGGTAACTAATTTCAATTGTTTTTAAAAGAGAATTTTGTACTCTACCATTTTCTATTTAAAAGGGATATTGGCCTGTGCCTGTAATGTCATCAGCACCCTTACCCTTCAAAATCACAACGCTGTAAAGCTCACTTTACTGCTCAACGGCATACATAGGTCGCATCCTTTGGTGTAACAATGCGACATCTGCAAAATTACAACTTTTCAGGAGACATTTCAAGTAAAGTTCTAGGAACGAAATTGAATGATAACTTTTTATACTAACGAGTCTATACAACCTCAAATGGCTTTGGTTAATTCTGCATAACAGTGAAAGTGTGGAAGCCATCACTTTGGAAAAAAATATAATAGTAAAATCATTGACTTACAATTATATGGACGTCGGGTCCGCGCTAAAAAGTGTTCGAACTTATAGGGCGTTAAAATCGTATACAGAGCGTCATTCACGC